ATGCCTCCAGGAATGCTGTCCTATTGTGTTTTTCTGTGCAAAGAATACAGCAGGCAGCTGCTACCATTTCTGCCTGATAAAGCTTTGTGTACATTTGGCCTCTTTGTGAGGAAAGATAAATGAGCTCACTTCAGGGTTGGGTCTATGGGTAGATGATTGAAATTCAGGAAAGTGTTTATATGCATTCAACAGAGGATTTCTGACAGTACATTTCTGCATGGGTGGCTTCAAAGGGTGTGGATGAATGGAAACTGAAAGAAAGATTGTTTGTGGAAAGGAAATGAAAGGGATTAGTTTCTATGAGGGCCAGGCAGGTGACCTAGATTCCCCATACTGGGATGTATACTCTTATGGACACTTTTTAAAAGAGAGAGAGAAAAAAAAATCCTTGGATACAGGGACAGACTTTCGTTTCTAGCCAATTCACATCAAGTCTCTTTGAAGGTGTTTTCTGATCTCAAGAGAAGCTTTCATTTAATATATGTTTCAGATGCTGGGCTTATCCAAGGATCAGATAACCACAGAGAGAATTCTAGCCTTGATTACTCTGCATGCCCCTGGCCTCAGGAGGCTCTTCTTTCGGGCTTTGAGTTTAAATAAACAAACCTGAAATCTGAAGGACTCATTTGTGATCCTCAGGTGACAGAGCCCTTTCCAGAGTCACTCTTCTTATTTCCCTATGAAATTGAAAAACAACCCAATGCATCTTCCAAAAAATTTGAAAGTAATTCCACAGAATTTCCCTCCAATAGGAAGATGATCAATGGGACAGAAAATAGAAAAAAGTGTTATGATTGACCATATATTGAATAGATTTAGAATTGCTAGGTTGCTGAAACCACACTAGATGGATCACTGTCCAAGTCACACTTTCCATATTTCTATCTTCTCAAGTACAATTCAAGGAATGAATTTCTTTGAGTTTATGAATCTCTGCCATATACATTTTATAGTCTTAAAAATCCATTGTATATAAATTATTTATATATGTGTCTCTCACCATGATTGAATAAGCACTTTGAGAGTCAAGACCATGATTATCTGCAACCCCCCTTCTCTATATGTGTGTGTTTGAGAGTCTTCATATCTCCAACAGCTAGCAAAAGACTGATTTGTGGGAGGTACTCAGCACTATGCATTGAAAAATGCCTCCTGTGGTTATTACCACTTTCTACATCAAAAGATTCTGAAAATAATTCATTTGTCCAACGGTGGCTCAAAATCAACAGTGTGAATAATTATCATTTTGTGCCCAAATCCAATGGTGTTCTAAAAGCTTTTAGCAGTGATGTCATTTGCTCTTTACTTATAATAAAAATGGTGGGTAAAGCAAAATACAAACTGCAGCCAAAACCTAGGATTTTTTTGAAGTTCAGGCTATGAAGGTTCAACTGTGCTTGACATATGATATGTATTCACTTTATATATTTAAACATGCAAAAATATGTAGGGTAGATTTGATGTGAACAAGAACATACAACTATATAATGAAAGAACTTAAAGAGCCCTGTCCAGGGCTCAGAGCAAGGTAGCTGAACACCCATTGTCCTCACTTAGAGGATCCATAGACAAGGCATAGTCAGTATTTCCCGCATTGAACTTGTTGTCATCTGTCTACCTTCCCTGTCTCAGGAAATGTCATAACCATCTGCTCAGCTGGTAATTCCAGAAATCTGAGAGCTTCTCTGGTACTTTCTTTTTTCATTGTTCCCACATGTAATCAATTATTAAGTGCTTTAATTTCTTATTTCTAATATCTTGCAAATGTATTAACTTCATTCCAACACAAATGCTACTATCTCGGTAAAGGTCTGTATCGTCTCTTATTTGGAGTTCTAAATATCTACTTAATCTTCTTCCTATGCCACAAGGTGCCACTTTAAAATCCACTCACCACACCCCAAAGACAGAGCATTTCAAAAAGGCTCTCCTGATGATAGCATTATAATAGAGTTCATTTTTTTAAATAACAATGGACATATTTAATCTTTATTAAACCTTACTCACAAGCACCCTGCTTGAAGAATTCCAGACCTTATCTCATTGAATCCTCTAAAAAACTTCATGAATTAAATATAAATATTTTTATAACTTTTTAAAGAGAAATCAACATTATATAGAGAGAAGGTGATTTTTCTAAAGACAATCAGCTAACAGTGGTGGAGCTAGAGTTTAAATAGAGGCAGTCTGACCTCACATGACTCAATCAAAAGATGATTCCTTTTAATGTATTCAGAAGTTGGTCCAATTTATCTCTTAATCAACATGTCTTCTCTAAAGCCTTATGTTATGATTTGGATGTGAGGTGTCCCCCAGAAGCTCACATGTGTGACAATGCAAGATGTTTCAGAGGAGAAATGATTGGGTTGTGAGGGTCTTAACCCAATTAGTGAATTAATTCTCTGATAGGGATTCACTGAATGGTAACTGAAGTGGGATGATATGGCTGGAAGGGGTGGGAGTTGCGGGTGTGGCTTTGGGGTATATATTTGTATCTGGCAAGTGGAGATCTCTCTCTCTGCTTCCTGATCATCTTGTGAGTTGTTTCCCTATACCACACTCTCTCAACATGATGTCCTGCCTCACCTCAAGCCCCAAGGAATAGAGCCTACTGTCTATGGATTGAAACCTCTGAAACTATGAGCCCTTAAATAAGCCTATCCTCCTCTAAGATTGTTTTGGGTGGGTCTTTTTTTTTTTTTTTTTTTTTTTTTTTAATTTTTTTTTATTGGTTGTTCAAAACATTATAAAGCTCTTCACATATCATATTTCATACATTAGATTCAAGTTGGTTATGAACTCCCAATTTTACCCCAAATACAGATTGCAGAATCACATCGGTTACACATCCACATTTTTACATAATGCCCTATTAGTAACTGTTGTATTCTGCTACCTTTCCTATCCTCTACCATCCCCCCTCCCTCCCCTCCCATCTTCTCTCTCTACCCCATCCACTGTAGTCGCAGCAGCAAAAAAGCTGACCAAAATACTTAGTATTTAGCAACACTGAAATCATTTAAGTTCTTGTGCCTTTAACATACCCTTCTTGCAATTTCATATTCTGGCTTTCCTATTCCTTTTCCTGCCTTGCCTGGCCTACCTCTTCAACTCAAATGCACTTCATCCAGAAAATGTGTCTTGTCCTTCCAAGTGTAAGGAAGAAGTGAGACTGAAATCATACCAAGTATCTAAGTCTCAAAAGAATGACATTAAAATACTACAGAAAAGGAAATCTGACAGATTTACAAATATGTGGGAATTAAAGACTATATTCTCAAACACCTGTGGGTCAAGGTAGAAATCACTAGGGAAATTAGAAAGTAATTAGGGATGAATGGAGATGAAAGCACAACAATCCAAAATTTGCCTGTAGATGCTTACATTTTAAAAAAAGAAAAAGAAAAAAGAAAGACCTTAAATTGCAGAGTGTGATGTCAGCAAGATTGACAGTAGGGGACAGCCCTGCTCATATCCCCACAATGACAATAACTTGGCAGTCATCCACAGATGGTTCTTGGAATATTATGCAGAAATAAAAATGAATGAACAACTGATTATGGTATAGCTGCTGAGGAAACATGAGATCATGTTATGCCAAGTGAAAAGAATCCAGATGCAAATGGTCACCTATTTTGTGATTCCATTTATATAAATATTTTGGATTAAATACCTTGGTCCATTTTCAAATTTTATCACTGGTACTTTCAGTGTTGTATGTAGGAAATTGTCAAACACAAAATCATAAAGATCTTTCTATTTTTCTATCTTTTCTTCCAAGAGTTTTATAGGTTTTATTATTATGTTTAGGTCTTTGATCTGTTTTGAGTTAATTTTTATGTGTTGTTAAATATGAGTCCACCTTCACTCCTTTTTGTATTTGGATATCCAGTTTTCCTTTATCCATTTATCCTTTTCATTGACTCATCTTGGTCTTGGGACGCTTATTGAAAATCAGTTGACCATGTATTCCACCGTTTATTTCTAGATTCTGTATTCTGTGATTGGTCTATATGTCTGTTTTCATGCAAGTATCACACTGTTTTGATTACTGTAGTTTCGTATTCAGTTTTGAAACTGGGAAGTATAAAACTCAATTTTTGTCCTTTTTTTGAAATTATTTGTACTGTATTTGTCTTAAGTTTCCATACGACTTTTGTATGAATTTTTTTTCAATTTCTGCAATTGGAATTTTTATAAGAATTGAATTAAATCTGTAGGTTACTTTGGGTAATATTAACATCTTAGTAATACTAACATTTTAGTAATATTAAATCTTGAAAACCATAAGCACAGAACATCTTTCTACTCTTTCTGCAACATTTTGTAGTTTTCTTTGTTTAAGCTTTTACACCTTCAATTAAGTATATTTCTGTTTGTTTTTTGGAATTGATTTATTGATTTCAGTCTGTTCATTGTTAATGTACACAAGCACAATTTTTGTTGTTAGTTTGTATTCTACAACTTAAATTCATTTATTGTGTATGTGCCTGTGGGTGTATGTACGTAATCTTTAGGATGTTCTACACGTAAGATCATGTTATCTGTGAAAATATAATTTTACTCCTTTCCAACTTGAATCCTTTCTTTTACTTCTTTCTTGCCTAATAGATCTGGCTGGGACTTCCAGCACTGTGTCTTTCTCCTGATTTCCTAGGAAAAGCTTTTATTCTTTTACCATTATTCTGTGGTTCATGGTTGGAAAAGAATTGATGGACTTGTCCAAGTGATTGTTCTCAAGGGAATGTTACTAGGTTATCTGAGATCAAGAAATTCTCCTGATGAAGAAAAAAAATCTACCCAACTATATTCTAACTAAAATCCTTTTTCCTATACATCCCTGCATTACATTCTTCTCAATCTGCTTTCATTTTTTGGATGGTATATCTGATTCTCTTACTTAGTAATTTGTTTAGAAATTCTTTGTTAAAAAATCTAAAAATTAATCATGGCTTTTCTACTGGACATATTTGAATATAAACTTTGCTTCTGTTTTTCAGAAGATGCTTATAAGACCCAAGTTAGGATTGACAATGAGCCAGCTTATCTGGACATCTTGGACACTGCTGGCCAGGTAGGTGATATACTTCAGCTTCTCTAGTCACTGAGACAGTTGAAGGCTCCAACCTCATATATGTGAGATGAGTTTATGTAAACAGGAAAACAAATTTGTAATACAAATAAAAAAATTGAACATGAAAAGACTTGGCATGAAAAGGTGATGTATCATTGATTACCACCAAGAATATTTTAATATTCTCTCAATTTTATAAATACAAAAGTATACATATAAAGTATTAATGAAATCATAAAATAGTTTATTATTTTTTCTAGATACACACAAAATTCTATTCTAGACCTCACTGTGAAAAAAATTTTCATTTGATGAAAATAAAAAAGGAAGGGTTGTTTACCACAGTCTATGGAACCAAGGCTAAGGAGACATTTCAGTGATGTAAGCAATTTAGCATAACCTAATATGTTCCTGCGCAAACCTGTAGGCAGGAGGAGGAAGAGGATGGGGTAGAGGAGGAGGAGGAAGAGGAGGACAAAGAGGAAGACAAATGATTTATGTGACATAAAGAAAGAATTAAAGCACTACAACAATTTTCAGTAAAACATGAGGAAGAGAAAGTACATAATATTTACAATATGTCAAAACCCTTATGGTATTTACAAGGAGGGTAGATGTTTCATTTAACTTCAAATGTTCAAAATAAGGACATTAAAAATGTAAATCTATATATCAAGTGCCAAATACATACCATACAACTTAAAAATGAGCTGAAGGAAAAGGGAGGAACACAATAAAAATTTCAGTGCAATAGAAGGCATAAAATAAACAAAAAATAGGTGAAATATGTTGATAATATGTACATGGAAATATAAACATATCAGATATCAAAATAAATGGAAACGGATCTCTCTTTCCTGGAATAGACAAGTATTGTCAATATTATATTAAAAGAATGAAATAGACTAATTTTTATGTGGTTTAAAAGAATCACAATGGTAAAGTAGAGTGGCAAATCAAATAATGGAATAGTGCTGGGATGTAGCTCAGTTTGAGAGCACTTTCCAAGCAAGCACAAGGCCTTGGGTATGATTCCCAGTCCTAAGTCACCTATTTTATGTGATTACTTTTGGCCCTGGGTTTGATTCCCAGTCCAAAAAAACAAACAAAGAAAAATAAAAAGACAAAAATTGGGTTTAAAAGAGCCAAACCTAAAGCAGGCATACCTGTATTAACATCAGAAAAAAGAGATATTATGCGAACAGCATTACTGTACTGTAAAAGTTCTAGTTTGTAGTGAAGAAATCATCAGAAATAGTTTTAAATTATCATCTATAATATTAACAGCAATGGAGAGGATTGTGAAGAGCAGAATTATAAATCTAAAATCAAATCCAATGGAAGGTACTAACGCAGCTCTGTCAATAAGTGTTAGGTTGTAGAGTCGTCGTGCAATGGAAGATTTGAAAACACATATAACCCAAATAGAATATTCTATCCAATACAAGAATCAACAATCTTTTCACATGTTGTTTTTATTTTCTATTGATTTCTAATCTTGCAAAGCATGTAATCTGTAGGACACTGATTATTTGATGAATTTAGAATTTTACTTTGTGGCGTAGGATATGATGCATTTTTATAAAATGTTTAAGCTAGTGGTTATCTTTTTTGGTTACCACTTTTGAGGAAAGGGAAGAAGACAGGAAATGAGAGAAATACAAAATAAACATCAACTATACCTGCAATGATTTATGTTTTATTAAGTTTCCAATTAAATATAAAAAGTTATTCAGAGTTGAAAATCATGAATACACGTTTTCATTATATTATTTTTCTTTGTCCTTAAAGATCTTACTAATTTTAAATATATTTTATGTTTTTCATCTATTTTATGTAACTACTTAAAATATAACTGCAGTAATTGGAATATTGATAATGTATAAGTCACTAGAAATAAGTAGTCAATTTATATATTTATGAGTTATACAAAGACTATCTGAAATCAATATATTAACAAACTCATTTGTTTCTGGAGACATTTGAACAAGGAACTTAGGTGAAAAGATTGTTGAAACCATTGGGGAATATTTAGAATAGAAAAATAATTTCAATTATTTGAAAGTCCTGCCTTATCTAAAGCAAAATACATGTGTTTTTCAAGGCAATTGGGGGCTCAATTTAAAGAAAATTAAGAATGTTAAATTTTAATACGTTTTTCCAATGACTGAAATTGTCCAGTGATAAAGTCTACTTTGAGAAAGAGAAAAGCTGAATTACTGGAAATATCAACTAGAATTAAACATTTATAGAAAGCGAAATCCTTCACTTATCAAACAGTCATTTGGTTTATAGTATTTATATAGACCTACCAGATCCTAACCATGGTACTAAGGTAATGGTGAATATTTCTCTTTCTGTTGACAATTGGCTAAGCCATGTTATTGCTAAAGCCAGTGAAATGTAGGCAGTTGAGAAAACACACTAATTTTGGACTAAAGTCTGTAGGGGTACTAAGGGTGTTTTTGCTATTCCTCAAAGTACATGCTGCAGGTAATTCTTGGTTTCCAGAAAATGAAGAAAAATACCGAGCAGACCTAGCACTATCTCAAAGAAAGAAGCAAAGCCTAGTCTACCCAAGCCTGAGGAAGGTTTGCTTCAGCACCACACAGATTGCAAAGTAGAGAAATTATAAGCACCCATTGTTTTAAGACCCTAAGTTTGAAATGGTTTGTCACATAGCATTGTTGTGGAAATAACTGATCAATATGCATATTAGTAAAGCATTTTTTAGTTCAATATGGCTCAGAGAGTCTATCCACCTATCTGTTGGTAAATTGGTAAGTGATGAAAGATAAATTTAAGATAATATGCTCTGGTAATACTGAGAAACTTGCAAACACAATTAAAATGATAAAGCTATTAAATTTGTATACCATTAAATATTTTTCAAAATATCAATTATGGCCAAACAGTTAGGAGTACATAAACCTAAACAGATGGTGATATGCTTGCTTCCAAACTGTTATTAAACCTACAAAGGAGGAGGTGGTCTATACAGTTGATTTAACAGAACTTATGTCCCTACAGGTGATAGGAGAGAACACCATTGAAATTTTTAAAAATAATAACACATTTTTTTCTTTAGGTACTGTTGATTTTCATATTTATTGAAATTTAGCATCCTTACAATAAAGCCAAGGATTAGGTAGAAAAGCTATTATTAAAGTCACCATCTAGAATACATATATTGTTATGCAAAACGTGAAGAGACTGTCCTCTTAGAGGCAATAAAGGAGACCAAGTACTGACCAGTTTCATGTTTATGCTTGTAGGGGTGACAAAGTTTTATCTCTTACCTAGAGCAAAACAGAAGAAAGATTAAGGAAAGCATAATAAAAATTTTAAAACAAGATCTTAGATGATATAGGAGCTTCACAGAATGAAGAAACATAAAAGATCCAAAGTTCCTCCATTTTTCCCATGCCTACCCATCCCTTTTATAAATTAACATCCACTTTTCAGAGACAATATTTAGCGTTTGGTCTTTGGAATTAGCTAACTTCACTTAGCATGATATTCTCCAACTCCATCCATTTACCTGCAAATGCCATAATTTTATTCTTTTTTTAATGCTGAGTAATAGTCCATTGTGTGTAGGGAGGGTGCGTGTGGGCAGGAACAGTATTGTAATGAGATGGACATTATTACCCTATGTACATGTATGACTTCACATATGGTGTGATGCTATGTCGTGTACAACCATAGAAATGTAAAGTTGGGCTGCAATTGTGTACAATCAATCAAAATGCATTCTGATGTCATATATACATAATTACAATAAACTAATTAATTTTAAAAAGGAAAAATTATATTTTTATGCTTAAGTTTGATGTTGAATGGACATCTATGGTAAGTACCATTAGATTAAAAGTATGTGTAACCTAAGAAACAAACTGGGCTCAATTTAGCTAGGCCGGTTCTTCAAATTCTTTTTGGCCTCTCTGTGCCACATTCCTTCTCACTTAATATAGGGCTGGATATCTGTCTTATGAGGGTCTTTAAAACAGGGGACAACAGAAAGTCAGAAATAACTTTCTGCTTATATAATTTTCTCAAGGCACCATATTTAGGGGAAGTATGCCATGCACTACCCCATGCTATGCATATGGACTTGCAGTGCCACCATAATTCCATGGAAGAAAGGTTGGGCATCACCAAAACTCAATTTGGAAAGGGGTTTTACTCTGCCATTCACCCAGGGTTTTCAATTCTCTCTTTCAGTGCTTAATTCTCCATCCAAATGTTTGGTAAGCCTACATTTGACTACTTCCATTGTTCAGGAATTCTACTGCTGAAAGTAGACATTCTCTGGAAAGCTTTAATTTTTAGAAAGTATTATTGCCATGAGCTAAAAATTTCCTCTCCATAGTTTATTCTTGATCCTTGACCAATCTCCTGAAATATTATATTACTCATTTTATAAATGGAAAAATTAAGTCTCATAGAGTGTAAGTGGCTTACTTACTGCAGTACAGCAAGCTCTCGATCTAGGTGTGACTAGAAGCCATCCCCATTTCCACTCAAGCTCTTTCTTTTTTCATTTCTCTTATGAAATCCCTTGTGTGTACCAAGGCCTGCCATAGATCAAGAAAATGCAAGATAAAATAAAATACAGTGTGTGAATTCAAAATGCTTGTGGTTTGGGGCAGTGTGGACATGCTAATTAAATTTTGCAGCAAATTAGGATGAAGATTATAGAGGAAGTATGCAAATTCTGTTAAGGGATTATCTCAAACTTCTAATATAGCTAAGTTTAAAATAGAAGTTGCAAGTATTCTTAAATGAAACTCTAAGAAAATATGTATATGAAGTTCAATTTAATTATAACCATATTAAATCATACTCATCCACATAAGAAGTACTAAAAGTAGTTCTTCTCCAAACACACCAGTTACCTCTTTGTGACAATCCATGAAATCCAGCCACTGAAACTTCCTAGACTTACACATCCTCCCAAACATGGATACTACCTGGATTAAGTCATTCTGAAACAACAT